TACCTTTCAATATGGCCATCTGGGTCCTTCCAGTATGAGTGCTCGATTTCCACAAGCATTTGTACCAATATAGATCTTCTGCAGGAACTTCTAGGGCCACCACATTTGCTAGGCAGCTTCCTCTTATTTTAACTTAAAGCAAGGCCAGGGATTGGTTGTGCCAGGAAAATGGGATGTATCTGGAATCACAGAATCCCAGGATTGGAAGTGACCTCAGGAGTCATCGAGTCCAGCTTCCTACTCAAAGCAGGACCAACCCCAACTCAATCATCTCAGCCAGGGCTTGGTCAAGCTGGGTCTTCCAAATCTCTAGGGATGGAGATTCCACCCCCTCCCTAGGGAACCCATCCCAGTGTTTCACCTCCTTCCTAGGGAAATAGTGTTTCCTAATCTCCAACCTAGACCTCCCCCACTGCAACCTGAGACCATTGCTCCTCATTCTGTCATTCTAAAATGTGATAGTTTTGCGGCACATGAAAAGGGAAGGAGGACATAGCGGAAGGGTGTGATCCTCACACTTGCCACTGGGGGCAGTGAGCGCAGGGGGGAGCTATCCTGCAGAGTGATCACGGGGGCAGTCACACCATCAGGAGAGTGGCCAGCTAGGGCTGGGGCTCCACCCTCTTGCCTGCCACTGGTAGGTGGCCTCCCTGCCTAATCTCCCCCTCACTTTCTCACTCCCCCCCTCACCTTTGGGCACTCCAATGGGGCCGGCCAGCCCAGCCCCGGCAGCCCTCCAGAGGACCCACTGGGGACCATCAGATGGTTATGACCTTTGGTCACTTTTGATCTTCACTGGCTTAGGACAAGAGTTGAAAGGCGGTTGCCAATCCTGCTGGGTTTGGGAGTTGTTGGCAATCATTTTTATCGCACCTAGTACACCTGCTGCACACAGAACATTTTTTACAGGCCTCTGTTCGCTGCACTGCTCCTGTCTACTGGAGAAATAATGCGCCTTGTAAAAGCTAACTGCTGTTCAAATAAACACCTGTTAGATCACAGTGGCTCCCGTCAGAGGCTCTCTTCCAAAAAAACACCCAAAGAAAACACTGAAAAGCAGGGGAAACTACCTTGAAAAACATACCATGCACGTTGTTTATTTTTCTACACTTCTTTTTAATGAGGTAATAGGCACATTAACAGATAAAGTTTCACAGAGTAAATGGATTTGCTCTTTTTTTATCCTCTAGGATTTTTCCTCTCTTGGATTCTGGGAACGTTATATCATAATTAGGCCGTGATGGTTTTCTGTAGAAAGGGGCTAACTTGGTAATAGGTGTTAAGGATATGGGGCATGAGCTGTGATTGTGTTATGTGTATAATGTGTGTAGCAGCCTTAACCAAGTACTTTGCCTCTATAGGCTGCAGCTTCAAAAAACTCCCCCAACTTCACAGATTCCTTGATGATGGGAGATTGGCTGCCACCACCAAATAAAACAAACAAACAACTCGTTCTTCTTGAATCCAGGAATAAGCACGTAAAACTTCTTCCAGCGAGGTAACCCAAGCTCTTGTACCAAAAGAGAGCTTGGAAAAAAAAAACCAACTAATTTCTAATAGCTGAACACGCAGGCTACGTCTACATTGGCCCCTATTACAGAATAGGCATGCTAATGTAGCACTTGGGAAGAGGCAAATCCGCGGGGTATTTAAATATCCCCCACGGCATTTGCATTTTCATGGCCGCCGCTTTTTTCCGGCTTTAACTTCTGTGCCAGGGAAGATGGAAAACCTGTCTTATGAAAGGAGACAAGGAGCTTGGCTTGTTTACCTTAACCGAAAGAAAGCTGAGGGGGGGACATGATTGCTCTCTTTAAATATATTAGAGGGATGAATACCAGGGAGGGAGAGGAATTATTGAAGCTTAATACCAATGTGGACACAAGAACAAATGGATATAAGCTGGCTAGTAGGAAGTGTAGACTTGAGATTAGACGAAGGTTTCTAACCATTAGAGGAGTGAGGTTCTGGAACGGCCTTCCAAGGGAAGTAGTGGGGGCAAAAGATCTTTCTGGCTTCAAGATTAAACTAGATGGGTTTATGAAGGGGATGGTTTGATGAGATAACATGATCTTGGTAACTAATCGACCATCCATTATCAGTGGGAAATAGGTCAATGGAGGGATGATAGGAGTTACTATAAAGAACTTTCTGGGTGTCTGGCTGGTGAGTCTTGCCCACATGCTCAGGGTTTAGCTGATCGCCATATTTGGGGTCAGGAAGGAATTTTCCTCCAGGGTAGATTGGCAGAGACCCTGGAGGTTTTTCGCCTGCCTCTGTAGCATGGGGTACAGATCACAGCTAGAGGATTCTCTGCATCTTGGGG